TGCCCATTATACACCCAATGTATGCCCATTATACACCCAATGTATGCCCATTATACACCCAATGTATGCCCATTATACACCCAATGTATGCCCATTATACACCCAATGTATGCCCATTATACACCCAATGTATGCCCATTATACACCCAATGTATGCCCATTATACACCCAATGTATGCCCATTATACACCCAATGTATGCCCATTATACACCCAATGTATGCCCATTATACACCCAATGTATGCCCATTATACACCCAATGTATGCCCATTATACACCCAATGTATGCCCATTATACACCCAATGTATGCCCATTATACACCCAATGTATGCCCATTATACACCCAATGTATGCCCATTATACACCCAATGTATGCCCATTATACACCCAATGTATGCCCATTATACACCCAATGTATGCCCATTATACACCCAATGTATGCCCATTATACACCCAATGTATGCCCATTATACACCCAATGTATGCCCATTATACACCCAATGTATGCCCATTATACACCCAATGTATGCCCATTATACACCCAATGTATGCCCATTATACACCCAATGTATGCCCATTATACACCCAATGTATGCCCATTATACACCCAATGTATGCCCATTATACACCCAATGTATGCCCATTATACACCCAATGTATGCCCATTATACACCCAATGTATGCCCATTATACACCCAATGTATGCCCATTATACACCCAATGTATGCCCATTATACACCCAATGTATGCCCATTATACACCCAATGTATGCCCATTATACACCCAATGTATGCCCATTATACACCCAATGTATGCCCATTATACACCCAATGTATGCCCATTATACACCCAATGTATGCCCATTATACACCCAATGTATGCCCATTATACACCCAATGTATGCCCATTATACACCCAATGTATGCCCATTATACACCCAATGTATGCCCATTATACACCCAATGTATGCCCATTATACACCCAATGTATGCCCATTATACACCCAATGTATGCCCATTATACACCCAATGTATGCCCATTATACACCCAATGTATGCCCATTATACACCCAATGTATGCCCATTATACACCCAATGTATGCCCATTATACACCCAATGTATGCCCATTATACACCCAATGCATGCCCATTATACACCCAATGCATGCCCATTATACACCCAATGCATGCCCATTATACACCCAATGTATGCCCATTATACACCCAATGTATGCCCATTATACACCCAATGTATGCCCATTATATGCCCATTTATTACTGCAGCTTTCATTACAATTGTCCCCCTGTGATTCTGCAATGGAGGTCCTTGTTCAAGTACTTCCTGTTATAGGGTGACACACTCTGTCCCTGTCTCCCATTTGTGATCTTACGTTGTCACCCTGTCACACGGGTTTCCGATGGAGGCAACAAGTAAAATTTCAGACATTAAATGCACCTTAAATTGGGGACAGAAGAGGGCTGACTGACACTACCTACCACCCAACCAGACACAGCAAATGGCTGATCACTTTGTAGGTTATGACGGAAATGTCTTCCCTCGGGGTCTCCTTGCCTCCGCGGCATTCTCTTTTATTTGCACGTCCTGTCTGGATTTAATTGTTTGTCACCCAAGTCAAATCACACAGATGAATCACTGGAGCCCAGTGCTGCGCACACATGGTAGGTGGGCGGCGGCACAAAGCGAATCCACCCGTACAATGACAACGCCGTCAGATCTGAGAGGAAGACGACGGCACTGACTGCGCACCAAGGTGATCAGAGAGGGCGGACAGGTGACACCGAGACAACAAGATTTAATGGATTAGGAGGGAGCTGGGTCAGGAGGAGGAATTCCCTGCGTGTGACAGCTGCCGGTGCTCAGATACAACTCACTGCCCTGAGAATACAGAGGAAGTCCAAATATAGGGAATGAAGACTCATAACAACTCCGGGCTCCCCTTCAGTCTTAGATCTGACCTCCGTCCTCCCCTTCAGTCTTCTATCTCCCCTCCGTCCTTCCCTTCCGTCTTCTATCTGACCTTTGTCCTCCCCTTCAGTCTTCTATCTCCCCTCCGTCCTTCCCTTCCGTCTTCTATCTGACCTTTGTCCTCCCCTTCAGTCTTCTATCTCCCCTCCGTCCTTCCCTTCCGTCTTCTATCTGACCTTTGTCCTCCCCTTCAGTCTTCTATCTCCCCTCCGTCCTTCCCTTCCGTCTTCTATCTGACCTTTGTCCTCCCCTTCAGTCTTCTATCTCCCCTCCGTCCTTCCCTTCCGTCTTCTATCTGACCTTTGTCCTCCCCTTCAGTCTTCTATCTCCCCTCCGTCCTTCCCTTCCGTCTTCTATCTGACCTTTGTCCTCCCCTTCAGTCTTCTATCTCCCCTCCGTCCTTCCCTTCCGTCTTCTATCTGACCTTTGTCCTCCCCTTCAGTCTTCTATCTCCCCTCCGTCCTTCCCTTCCGTCTTCTATCTGACCTTTGTCCTCCCCTTCAGTCTTCTATCTCCCCTCCGTCCTTCCCTTCCGTCTTCTATCTGACCTTTGTCCTCCCCTTCAGTCTTCTATCTCCCCTCCGTCCTTCCCTTCCGTCTTCTATCTGACCTTTGTCCTCCCCTTCAGTCTTCTATCTCCCCTCCGTCCTTCCCTTCCGTCTTCTATCTGACCTTTGTCCTCCCCTTCAGTCTTCTATCTCCCCTCCGTCCTTCCCTTCCGTCTTCTATCTGACCTTTGTCCTCCCCTTCAGTCTTCTATCTCCCCTCCGTCCTTCCCTTCCGTCTTCTATCTGACCTTTGTCCTCCCCTTCAGTCTTCTATCTCCCCTCCGTCCTTCCCTTCCGTCTTCTATCTGACCTTTGTCCTCCCCTTCAGTCTTCTATCTCCCCTCCGTCCTTCCCTTCCGTCTTCTATCTGACCTTTGTCCTCCCCTTCAGTCTTCTATCTCCCCTCCGTCCTTCCCTTCCGTCTTCTATCTGACCTTTGTCCTCCCCTTCAGTCTTCTATCTCCCCTCCGTCCTTCCCTTCCGTCTTCTATCTGACCTTTGTCCTCCCCTTCAGTCTTCTATCTCCCCTCCGTCCTTCCCTTCCGTCTTCTATCTGACCTTTGTCCTCCCCTTCAGTCTTCTATCTCCCCTCCGTCCTTCCCTTCCGTCTTCTATCTGACCTTTGTCCTCCCCTTCAGTCTTCTATCTCCCCTCCGTCCTTCCCTTCCGTCTTCTATCTGACCTTTGTCCTCCCCTTCAGTCTTCTATCTCCCCTCCGTCCTTCCCTTCCGTCTTCTATCTGACCTTTGTCCTCCCCTTCAGTCTTCTATCTCCCCTCCGTCCTTCCCTTCCGTCTTCTATCTGACCTTTGTCCTCCCCTTCAGTCTTCTATCTCCCCTCCGTCCTTCCCTTCCGTCTTCTATCTGACCTTTGTCCTCCCCTTCAGTCTTCTATCTCCCCTCCGTCCTTCCCTTCCGTCTTCTATCTGACCTTTGTCCTCCCCTTCAGTCTTCTATCTCCCCTCCGTCCTTCCCTTCCGTCTTCTATCTGACCTTTGTCCTCCCCTTCAGTCTTCTATCTCCCCTCCGTCCTTCCCTTCCGTCTTCTATCTGACCTTTGTCCTCCCCTTCAGTCTTCTATCTCCCCTCCGTCCTTCCCTTCCGTCTTCTATCTGACCTTTGTCCTCCCCTTCAGTCTTCTATCTCCCCTCCGTCCTTCCCTTCCGTCTTCTATCTGACCTTTGTCCTCCCCTTCAGTCTTCTATCTCCCCTCCGTCCTTCCCTTCCGTCTTCTATCTGACCTTTGTCCTCCCCTTCAGTCTTCTATCTCCCCTCCGTCCTTCCCTTCCGTCTTCTATCTGACCTTTGTCCTCCCCTTCAGTCTTCTATCTCCCCTCCGTCCTTCCCTTCCGTCTTCTATCTGACCTTTGTCCTCCCCTTCAGTCTTCTATCTCCCCTCCGTCCTTCCCTTCCGTCTTCTATCTGACCTTTGTCCTCCCCTTCAGTCTTCTATCTCCCCTCCGTCCTTCCCTTCCGTCTTCTATCTGACCTTTGTCCTCCCCTTCAGTCTTCTATCTCCCCTCCGTCCTTCCCTTCCGTCTTCTATCTGACCTTTGTCCTCCCCTTCAGTCTTCTATCTCCCCTCCGTCCTTCCCTTCCGTCTTCTATCTGACCTTTGTCCTCCCCTTCAGTCTTCTATCTCCCCTCCGTCCTTCCCTTCCGTCTTCTATCTGACCTTTGTCCTCCCCTTCAGTCTTCTATCTCCCCTCCGTCCTTCCCTTCCGTCTTCTATCTGACCTTTGTCCTCCCCTTCAGTCTTCTATCTCCCCTCCGTCCTTCCCTTCCGTCTTCTATCTGACCTTTGTCCTCCCCTTCAGTCTTCTATCTCCCCTCCGTCCTTCCCTTCCGTCTTCTATCTGACCTTTGTCCTCCCCTTCAGTCTTCTATCTCCCCTCCGTCCTTCCCTTCCGTCTTCTATCTGACCTTTGTCCTCCCCTTCAGTCTTCTATCTCCCCTCCGTCCTTCCCTTCCGTCTTCTATCTGACCTTTGTCCTCCCCTTCAGTCTTCTATCTCCCCTCCGTCCTTCCCTTCCGTCTTCTATCTGACCTTTGTCCTCCCCTTCAGTCTTCTATCTCCCCTCCGTCCTTCCCTTCCGTCTTCTATCTGACCTTTGTCCTCCCCTTCAGTCTTCTATCTGACCTCCGTCCTTCCTTTCAGTCTTCTATCTGACCTGGAGTCAGATCACAAGAAGTGAATTCTGATTGGCTGAAGCATGCGTGCACATTCGCCAGCATTACACGATAGGACGGTTTATTTTACATAGGAGAGATTCTTTAGTCCACATTTGCCAACATTCCCAATGACACCCTACTGTAAAATAGGCCACGCCCCTTATCAGGATTCTTGTCAACCAATACCTATTAAATCATGACGTAGCCCCACCCATTCAGAAGTAAAGCTCCACCCCCTCTCACCTGCTCCACAACCATAGGTAATGTTGCCAACCATGCAGCTCTTCCCATCAATCATGCACATTAGTAAGAGCCCCGCCTCCTCACCTTGACGCCGCAATCTCGGCCTTCTGCTTGGCAATGCTGCCCGCCCTCTCGGCCTGCTCCACGGCCCGGTCCACCTTCTCCCGGATCTTGCTGGCCCGGAGCGGGATCAGGTTCTTCCTCTTGCCGCTCACCAGGACGTTCTGCTTGTACTTCCCCTCCTCCTTGGTGCCGTCCGGGAAGGTCATGCAGCCGTAGCCGTGCCGCTTGTTGTTGGCCCACTCCCCCTCGTACTTCAACCCGTCCGAGCGCTGGCTCACCCCGAAGCCGGAGCGCTTGTCGTGCTTCCACTCGCCCAGGTAGGCCTCGGTGGTGGTGGCGTCGATGTCGTCCTCGATGACGGACAGCTCCGTCTCGCCCTCGCCCAGGCTGATGGTGGAGTTGATGTCGCTGGCGGTGGAGCTGACGGTGCTCATGCCGGCCTCGCTGCGGAACGAGCTCTGCTTGCTCCGCTGGCTGGCCAGCGAGCTCTTCGACTCCGACTTGCGCAGCTTCAGGCCGCTGAGGATGGACCTCCGGAAGATGCCCTTCTTCTTGTTCTTCAGCATCTCCGCGTCGCTGTGCGCCATCAACACAAACCCTCCCCTGGACACGGCGGGGCTGCCGGCCACCCCGCACGAGGCGTCCGGGTGCATGGCCGTGCCATTGGTGTGCTCGCTGCGGAGCGAGTTTATAGAGGTCCTAAGAGGCGATCTGATGACTGCGGCCATCCCATAGGGAACGCTCTGGCGCACTCCGAACCCTTGCCGTATGCCCGCGGCCCACTGACCTTGGTAGGTACCTGGAAGAGACACAAATGAAAGATACAATGTTACCGAAAGGGGGGAAAAACTACAAGGCAGCTCAGTTATCAGAATGTCTGAAATAAAAACTGCCCGTGGTGCCCTATAGAAGCCAATCAAATGGAAACTGGTCACCACTGCAAAGTGACAGGAAAGGCTGTGGCGGTACGATGACCATCAAAGCGCCATGGGCCCCCCAAATCTCAGCTATGTGCACTACAGAAGCCAATTAAATGTCACCAATGCAAAGGTACAGGAAAGGCTGTGGCGGTATAATGACCTTCAAAGTGCCATGGGCCCCCCAAATTTCAGCAGTGTACCCCATAGAAGCCAATCAAATGTCACCAATGCAAAGGTACAGGAAAGGCTATGGCGGTATGATGACCTTCAAAGTGCCATGGGCCCGCCCCCAAATCTCAGCAATGTACCCCATAGAAGCCAATCAAATGTCACCAATGCAAAGGGACAGGAAAGGCTGTGGCGGTACGATGACCATCAAAGTGCTATGGGCCCCCCAAATCTCAGCAATGTGCCCCATAGAAGCCAATCAAATGTCACCAATGCAAAGGGACAGGAAAGGCTGTGGCGGTACGATGACCATCAAAGTGCCATGGGCCCCCCAAATCTCAGCTATGTGCCCTACAGAAGCCAATCAAATGTCACCAATGCAAAGGGACAGGAAAGGCTGTGGCGGTATGATGACCTTCAAAGTGCCATGGGCCCCCCAAATCTCAGCAATGTACCCCATAGAAGCCAATTAAATGTCACCACAGGAAAGGCTATGGCGGTATGATGACCATGGGCCCCCCAAAGTGCAATATTTCAACACTTTCTGGTAGTGTTGCGAGTTCTCCCGCCTCCTGCGTTCTCCTATTGGCTCATAACTGTGATCAGAGGTCTCATCGTCCAATGGGAGTAGAAGCTCAGAACACTACCAGCAAGTGTTGAAGCTGATTGGCGGGGATTCCGGGTACGCGCAGTTGTCATCCAAAGGCCGCTGTACTTCTGCAGCCCGTTGGGTACCTGTACAGGAATGACAGCCGGAGGGATGGAAATCTGAATCTGATTGGCTGTAAAACGGGAACGATGATTGGACGTTCTTTCTCTGCAACGGAACAAAGCCGAACGTCAACCTGATCAGAGATACTTCTATTGTTGTGTGTAAATGCGACTCGCGGATCCAGCGCAAGACAATTCCCAGAGAAAACACCATTCAGATTTCCCATAATGCCCCAATACCGAGAATCATTTCTATGATGGTGTGTGTATAGCAGGGATGGATGGATAGAGGGGGGCGGGGGGGGAGGGAGAGAGAGGCAGAGAGAGGCAGAGGG